GACGATAACGGTTAGGTTTGGCCGTTTGGGTAAAGACAGTTTTTTATGCATTTCTGACTTTTGACTGACGACGCCAGCCTGTATACCAATATACCTTTTTTTCTTTTAAATTTTTAAAAATTTTATAGTACTATACAAAACGTCTAATTTTGAATTTTTTATTAAAATAAGTTTAAAAGTAGTTACAGTTTTGCAACGTAATGGACCAGGCAATAATACCAGAATAAACGCAATCAAATAAAATTTTGACTACAGTTACAAAGTTTGTAGCTGATAACTAAAAAAATCAGTTTAAAAAAAATGCAGTTTTTTGTATGCATATGTTAATTTTCAAAATATTAACTTGTTTTTGTAACTGTTCTGAGCAATGAAATTACAGTTTTCAAATATTAACTTGTTTTGTAATTTTTTTAACCTTTCTCAGTTATTTAAGCTTATCCTTTTAACTGAAAAAGGTTCAAACTTCAAACTACCTAAAGCTACAAAATTGGGATATAAACAAACACAAATTATATTTTATATTACTATAGAAATGTGCTTCAGTTTTTTTCTTCCAGTTGTTAGATGTGGAAAGTAAATTTATTGTCGCAATTCAAAATCATATTATAAGAAAGGAAACTTCATCATAGTATATGTAGATATCATTTCATAATTCATAATAATACGATTAATATTCTGTTTCATAAACTTGTTACAAAGAAACGGCCACACAAAAATATGTAAAAAGTTAGTGGTCGGAAAAAAAACAATTAAAATTCAAAGTTTGATGACATGGCACAAAACGACAAATAGAGTTTGGCCAATTGGACTGTGAAATCATCTCACTTAAAACATTTTAAATATTTTAATAACTTTTTAAATTTGGAGCCAAAAATCCAGGCTGTAATCCTCAACAAACAACTAACTGTCGTCCATTAAGCAAACTGCCACGTGTCAGTTTGAAAGGTGTTTAACTGTCTCACTAACGTTTAGTAACGCACAACGTCATTTGCACCTTCCCCGGGTGTCAAA